CTTTTTATTTACAGGGTAAACAAATAATTAGAATATGTGTGAAATTTTTTGGCTCAATTTTAAGAGTTTATTTAATTTCGGAATTTTTACCCGAATTTTTCCATCTATTTTCTTTCTATTTAATAAAGCCTGTACAGTACCGTACTATGGCCATAATTTACGGTGTTTATCATTATTCCTTATTGGTAGTACAAAATGTAAGACTGATCGGGAAAATTTTTAAGTTTTTTGGTATTTATCGGAAGCAAAATTTTTCGGTATTATATTACTTTTGTATCTTTTTTTAATTATTAATTTTTTTAATTCTTAACCATTTTATTTATTTAATTACGATAAGGAAAATTAAATACCGATTACACCGAACGACAAAATTTTTTAAACAGATTCGAGAGGATTTCGATTTTCTACAAAGAGTCAGCCAAAATTTCGAACCTATAATTTCGAAGCTCTATGAAAGACTCACAACCGACAAAAGTGCATTTTTAAAAAAAAGTCCCCTAGGTAACAAATAAATAAATATAAAAAATGAAGATAGAGCTTAAAGATTTTAAATTGCACTTTTTGCCAATTGCCACTTTTAATAAAATTCGTAAATTAATTTTTGAAGCTTTTTACATCTATTTTTACATTAATGTCTTGTGTGTTTCAAAATCGTTGATTAAATATAGAAAATCTAAATTTTGAAACAGCTCCTTTGCTCTTAGAATTTATTAAAATGCCAAATTGAGCTGCTATTTATTATAAGGTCTCATCAACAATTAAATTATTATAATAAATACCCCGGATTTTAAACTATGGTTATTCTAATTATTCCAATATTCATTTGTTTATCAAATTATGAGTTGACTAATAATGTCAAGTAGAACCAAAATATTTTTAATATTACAATTTAAGATGAATAAATTTATTATTATTCTTCTCTCATATTTGATTGTTATGTTGATTAATCAAATTAACGGTAGAAAGGTTGAGGTTGGATTAAAAATAAAAGAAGATTGGGAAGAAAAAAGAGAATTTATTTATTTAAAAAATATTCAAATAAAAGAACGTTTTGTATTAATAATGAATGTAATTACGGGAAATAGAATTGAAAATTATTTCAATAAAAAAACTGAGTCGTTTTGTAAGATTGAAGTAAATCCTGTTAATAAAGTTTTTGTTGTTAAAATAAATCAGCTGTCTAAATATAGCTCTCAATTAAAAACGAGACTTTTGATTGAAATTGCCAATAATGAAATTGTTAAAGAATTTTTGAATAACTATGGAAAACAGGTATTTTATATTTGATTATTCGAAAATTAAGCCTAAAATTTAATTTATCTAAGATTCGCCTAAAAAATAATTTTATAAAGAATAATAAATATTATGAAACTTCGATATTAGAAGAAAGTTTAGAAAATATAAGTAAAAAAGAATTATTAAAAGAAAATATAAAAAATTATAAAAACAAACTTTTATCAAGTTATTGGACAGAAATTAATTTAAGTGGATATAAAATTGAATTGTTAGATAAACAAAAAGATGAATATACGAAGGAAGAAATAAAAAGTAGAATTATTTACATCGGCATTGAAATAAGTAAATAGTTTTTTTTTAATTTTTTATTATTTATATGCTTAAAAATTATGCATATACTATATGCTTTATTATTATAGGAGAAATAATTGATGGAAATAAACAAAGCTGTTTAAATTGTAAAATCACACAAACAAAACATCGGTATAGATATCTAAAAGAACATTATTTGTGTCAAGTATGTCACGAGTATAAAATATATAGTGGCAAAATGAGACCTGAAGGAAATTTTTATCAAACTAACATGGTTTATTTTTATTTATATCATAATTAACAATGATTTAATAAAAGTATATGAGTAGTTTTAGATATTTCGGGCATATTACATGACATTATTAGGCTATCTGATGTTTATGGATTTCAATAGTTTCCGAAATATCAACAAGAACATTACTTTTGCCGATTGTGAGAAATCGAAACTTAGAAAAAAAACATATTATATCGTAGCAACCCTGGACAAATCAGCCATGAAAATTAGCAAAATATCTTTAAAAATTTTTTATCTGAGGACTAGTTTAAATTTCTATATTTATAAATATTTTAGCGAATCACGAAAGATCGAAAATGTTATGCGTGCGGAGCAACAAAAACATCAAATTGGTACCGTCATTCAAAGCCTGAACAATATATATGTATTGCCTGTTATAAAAAACAAAAAAGAATAAATAAGAAAACAAATAAAAATCAAACAGAACAGGAATCGGACAAATAAATTTTATATGATAAGGATTTCAACTTTAATTCTCTGATATATTGAACAAATTTAAAACTATGTAAAATATAACATATGTAATTTTATTCAAAAACAAAATTCTTTAGTTGTAACAAGATAAATTTAATATTGTTTATTTTATGAAAGATACATTTACATATAAAGACAAAGAAATGTCTATAGAACTAATTTTTCTGACCCTAAATAAACAGTCGATTTTTGCTATCTTTAGATCTAAATCATATGGATCAAATCATAAGATAACCATATATAATTAGTTATAGTTAACTTTTATTAGAAAAAATAAGAAATATTCAATAGTAACAAAAGTAATTTAAATTAATAATGATAAAGCTAAAAACGATAGATAAGAAATTTCGCATAAAGTGTATTTCACCGGTGATAATTTTTGGGTTGACATATGTCATAATCGAACGGTACTGCTGCTATTTTAGGAAATGATTTTAATTTATAGGTCTCTAAATTAAAAAATCATAGTTAGTTTAATTTGTATGGCTTCTACATATCAAGCGGGATAAAACTAAAAGATAAAGCGGGATAAACATAGATACAACTAAAAAAGAGCCTTGGATTTTTAAATACTGGGTCAGACATTTAAAAATTCATCCTTATTTAGTAATCATGATTAGTTGAACCAAAATACTAATAATAAAACAGACTTCAGAAATTGCTATCAAATTTATAAAATAAGTCTCAATTCAAAGACTACAACCATATTTATATTATTTCGTCGTCGATAAAGTACTCTGTTTACCTCTGTTTTACCTGTTTTACCTCTGTGTTACCTCTGATACCTCTGTTTTGTGTGCCTATATTAAGGAATGGCCTCAAATAGAATTTTTAGTTCAATTAGAGCATTTACGGTAATATACATAGTTTTTAATTTATTTTATATTCATACATAAATATGATATGCAAAATTTATATCAATTTTATGTTGCTAGAATCAGTTAGTTTTGTTTAATTCTTATTTGCTTTCTTTATTTTTTGTTGTCGATTGTAACAAATATGACAAATATATTTTTCGGGTTTTGAATGACGGTACCAATGTGATGTTTTTGTTGAACCGCAAATAAAACAATTTCGATCAGGTGTGATTCGCTAAAATATTTATTAAATAGTACTTAAGTAAATTATATTTGACCTTAGAAATGTTCTCTTTAATTAGGAATGTTTAGATAAAAATCTTATTATATAATGATCATAAAAATTTAAAGCTGGATATAATAAATTTTGGTAAGAATGGGTTTGTTAAGAATGATTTGGGTATGATAGTGTAAAAATAAATTTTGGGTCAGAATTATTTTAGGTTTTGTTATTAAATGTTTTAGGGGAAGATGAATGAATATTTCGGGGATGATGAAATAAAATTGCTTGCACTTTATATAAAGGATTTTTGCAGGCAATTAATCTTTTTGCTAAAGAAATATTTTATTCCATCTTTTTTACAGAGCAATGACTGTTAGAACTTTTTCAATAAATAAAATTAAAAGTATTCTAAAATGAATTTTTAAAAATCTTCCCAAATATTGATAAATGTAACCTTTGTTGTCTTAAACAATTCTTTTGATCTAAACTTGCCAAATTTGTGTTTATAGTCGCCACATTGTTGGCATAAGTAATGTTCTTTTAGTAGACTATACCACCGTTTTGTTTTTGTAATTTTACAAGTGAAACATATTCGCTTATTTACTTCAATTATTTCGCCTATAATTATTAAGGGAAATTTTTTAGTCAAATGAAAAGAAAGAAAATGATAGAAATATATTCACTCATTTTATTGCCAATATAAATAATTCTGTTTTCTAATTCTTTCAGATATTCAACTTTTTGTTTTTCTAACAATTCAATTTTATATCCAATTAAATTAATTTCCGTCCAATAACTTGACACAACTTTGTTTTTGTAATTTTCTATATTTTCATTTAATAATTCCTTTTTATTTATTTTTATATTCATTTCAAATCTCTCGTCTAATATAGAAGTTTCATAATAATTAGTTGTTTTAATAAAATTATTAAAACGGATTGCCTTAAATTTATATCAAATTGTTTAAGATGTAATACTGGCAAAAATCCATAATGCCACAAAAAACCGCACCCCATTTGTCGCAAGAAAACTGCGCAATTTTAATTCCGAGTTTCCCCTACATATAATTGCGTTTGAAGACAATTGGGTAGTAAACGACAACTATCGAATACCTTAGAAGTTACTGAGCTCATTTCGGTGTCGAATTTTGGTAGGAATATTCAAAAATCAAAATAAAAAATACCTGTTTTTCATTCGGCAATAAAAATTGAATAAATTTATTATTGGCAATCTCAATCACGACTTTTCTTTTTAATTGAAAAGTCAGATTATATTTTCCCTCATATAATTTCGTATAAAATAAATTGCTTTCAATGTTTAATTTAAGCGGACGCAAATATTTAATTTAAAAGTAATATCATTTTTATTATTGGATTTTTCAATTGTTTTCAATACAAAACGCTCTTTTAATTCAACATTTTTTAAATAAATAAATTCTCTTTTTTCCTTCCAATCATCTTTGATTTTCACACAAACACTAAGTGATTTTCCTTTGCATCGAATATTCAATAAAATAATTAAATATAAGAGAATATAAAGAATAAATTTAATCATCTAAATTTTATTCACGCAAAAATATTATATTAATTTAATTATTTGTTGATGGGGACAAATAAAGGTAGCAGTTTGAAATTTTAAACGGGACGCATATTTGCATGGGACACATATACTTTTATGGGACGCATTAAAGTTGCTGAGACGCATGTTCTAAGATAGACCGAAGATTTATGGATTTTCAAATAAATTTTTGCTTGTAGATTCTGTAGATAAAAGCAATAAAGTTGAAAAGGTATATTTTGAACCATTATGAGATTTATGAGATTAGGAGGAAAAGAAAGTCATTATCATAGGAAAGAAAGGCAAGCGAGGAGAATGCAGCAAAAAATGATTTTTGCGGACATATTGATAGTGAGCTGGACTTTTACCCGATTGTTCAATTTAACATCTAAAATTTCAAATATACTAATTAATACATTAAGTCAAAAGATGATTTCGGGAAAGAGGTGGATTAGAATGATACCTAGGTATTTAGATGGATCGAAGAGATTAACCAGAACATGGGGATTACGAAGAATATATGTGATGCGATTCAAAGGGCATCGTGTGATTTGTTGTGATATCAAATGATAAGGGGATATTATTGGAGTTGAATTTCTACCGCGGATAACAGGGGATTTGAAGGCAAACCCGCAAGATCTGGGCTCCAAATATGAAGCCGAAGCTTTTTTGAGCCACTTTATAAGGGAAAATTATTGTTTTCATCTCCTTTCAGCGCCGCAGGCAAAAATTTTGAAAATTTTGGATGTATTCTAATCGGATTTCTCCATATATTTATAAGACAACGGCTATGTTATTTGTTAATACCCGTGTAATATCAACTTTTTAACAAATTAAAATTATTGTAATTTTTAGTGTACTGAAAATGAATAACGTAGTGTTTTTAACTATTGGGAAATGCTAAATAAATAGTATAGACGACATCGACTAATAAAATCCTGTGGTTATTAATCAAAGGGCAAATATTAATTTTGAAATGCCGCTTTATTATGTGAAAAATAGATAAACATTAAGCGGAAAATTTTGAAATTTCTTTAATGCTAATTAAAAGCGATAATGTACTTTTAAAACAACTTCAAAGAAAATTTTGAAATAACTTCTACTGAAGACGCTTTTTTGTAAAAACATCATTAAGTTGTTCTTGGTACGAAAAATAATTAAAACAGAATATCTGAACACAGCAAGTAGGTGATTTATTAGGTGATTTATTATTATTAGGTGATTTTATTATAGTAGGTGATTTTATTATTATTAGTAGTAGGTGATTTTTTTTTTATTATTATTAGTAGTAGGATATTAGTAGTAGGTGATTATTATTAGTAGGTGATTTTATTATTATTTTCGAAATTAATAATTGCACTTTAAGTATATTATCATGGGTCTTTAATTATTCGATAATTTGTGTTTAATACCTAAAATGTTACCTTATTTATTTTTAAATTCATTGAAAAATTAAAAAATTTTCTAGTTATTTATTAAAATTATATACAACGTGTTTTTAGTAAAAGCAACAGGATATATTCAATTTTATATATGTATTAATTAAGATAGTTTAGTGTTTCAGTAATAAATTTGTTATATTATTGTTCTATTGTATAGCTATGAATTAATTTAATTGAATGTAGATTGTTTAAATAATTTTAAATAGCTGTGGCTAAGATTTCAACCCTCATCGGATGAGGGTTCAAAATTTACCCTCAGCTGTGAGTTCTATTACTCGAGTAACTAACTCACAACTCAAGGTTACCTTTGTGCAGCGGAATTTTCGTCTCAGAACTACCACCCACGTTTTAATATTACCTCCATGTTGTAAATACATTTTTCATATTTTAGATGATTAAATTTAATTTTATAATTTTCATATATTTAATTATACTAGCGGAGGGGGTCGCCCTTCGGGCGAGCCCCTTCCGCTAGCCAAATTCTAAACATTACAAAAACTTAAATTAAACCACATACATAAAACCTCACTCGTCAACTATTAACTAAGATTTTCAACTTTTAACTATTAACAATGATTCAACTATTAACTAAATTTTTAAACTTTTAACTATTAACTATTAATATCAGCTATAAACTATCAATTTTCGACTATTAATAATGATTCATATATTATCTAAGATTTTCAACTTTCAACTATTAATATCAATTTTAACTATTAACTATTAACAATGATTTAGCTATTAACTAACTTTTCATCTTTCAATGAACTATCAATTTTCAATTGATAGTTTGAAATTGATAGTTCACTCACCATTATTCCAACCATTTCCAGACCCTTCACATAATTACGGGACCCTCTTCACTCACCATTATTCAAAACATTGCCAGACCGTTTTCACCCGTTTACGGGACCATTTTCGCTCACCATTATTCCAACCATTTTCAGACTAAGATTTTCAACTTCCAACTATTAACTATTAATATCTATGTCTACTATTAACTATCAATTTTCAACTATTAAATATTACACTGATTCAACTATTAACTAAGACTTTCAATTTTGAACTATTAACATCTATGTCTACTATTAACTATCAATTTTCACTATTAACTATTAGCAATGATTCGACTATTAACTAAGATTTTTAACTTTCAATTATCAATATCTATGTCAACTATTAACTATCAATTTTCAACTATTAACTATTAACATTGATTAAACTATTAACTAAAACTTTCAATTTTCACAATCAACTATTAATATCTATTTCAACTATTAACTATTAACCATCTTTCAAATATTAATATACGAATATTAACCAACTTTCAAGAATTAATTTACAACTATAAACTATTAACCACTTTTCAAATATTAATTTTGAACTATTACTATCAACTATTAACAACACTAACTATAAGCTATTAACAACCCTTGTCACTTAACCGTTGTCTGACTCTTATATCTCAGTCATTACCGCTTTTTTCTCACCCATTGTGGGACCGTTTTCTCAAGAATATTGAACGACTATTTTCTCTTTTTTATTGACGGGATCTTTTATCTTGTATATTGACGAACCCTTTTCTCAAGCCATTTAACGGACACTTTTCTCTTGCTTATTGCTCGAAATCTTTTCTTCCCAGCATTGTCAGACCCTTTTCACCCAGTTACAGGACCGTTTTCGCTTACCATTATTTCAACCATTTCCAGACCCTTTTCGCCCATTTACGGGACCCTTTTTGCTCACCATTATTTCAACCATTTCCAGACCCTTTTCACGCAGTTACGGGACCTTTTTCGCCTACTTCCAACCATCGCCATATTCTTTCCACCCATTTAGGGAACCCTTTTCGCTCACCATTATTTCAACCATTTCCAGACCCTTTTCACCCATTTATGGGACCCTTTTTGCTCACCGTTATTCCGACCATTGCCAGACCCGTTTCACCCAGTTACGGGACCATTTTCGCTTACCATTATTACAACCATCGCCATATTCTTTTCCCCCATTTTCGGGACCTTTTCGACCAACATTATACCAACCATTACCAGACCTATTTCACCCAATTAAAACCTCACAATAAAACAAACTGTTGGACGCTCGCGTTGTTTAAATAAAAGATCAGCACTGAAAAACAAACTGTTGGACACTAACTTTGTTAAATAAATGATCGCTTTGTTTTTGAACCTAACAACAAATTTTAAATAAAACAAATTTTAAGAAACAAAACAAAAAAACAATCAAAACACAAATTAAATACAATTAACAAACAAAAAAATAAAAAAATTACAGCAAAAAAACAAAACAAATTCTAAAAAATTCACATTTTTTCTTTTCTTCTCTAAATACACACTATTTTCTTTTTTGGGATATTTTGTCATTTTTAATTAAAAATAAAACACAACGCCAAACATAGCAAAATTCAAAGCTGCGGACAAACAGACAGACAAAGCATTCTAAAATTATATATAGGATTTTTGAAAATGCAATGCGCCGGGAAACTCATTCACGTTGAAGTGAAAATTAAAGATGATTGGGAAGAAAAAAGAGAATTTATTTATTTAAAAAATGTTGAGATAAAGGATCGTTTTGTTTTAAAAGTAATTGAAAAACAAAATAAACAACACAATAGTTTTAATAAAAATATAGAAGGATATTTACGTTCAATTGACTTAAATCTAAATAAAAATATGTTTGAAGTTGAAATAAGTAATAATCCAAAATATTTTCCATCTAAGGAATTAAAAAAGAAAATTTTGATTGAAATTACTAATAATGAAATAATTCAAAATTTTCTAACTTTGTTTGAAAAAATGGTATTTATATTTTAAATAATAGAATATATAATATATATGCATATTTTGATTGTTAGAATATTATAACCCTCTATTTAATGGACTCCATGAATTCATTGATAAATTTATATTTAACTTACAAATAAACAATTTGTCATTAATTTTTAATTAAGATGTTCCGATATAATAATTTTATTATGCCGAATAATAATCATTATGAAACTTCTATATTAGACGAGAGAATACTAGAATTATAAATAAATAAAAGAGAATTATTAAAAGAAAATATCGAAAATTACAAAAACAAACTTTTATCAAGTCATTGGACGGAAATTAATTTAATCGGATATAAAATTGAATTATTAGAAAAACAAAAATTTGAATATCCGAAGGAAGAATTAAAAAGTAGAATTATTTACATTGGAAGTGAGATTATTATAGGAGGAATAATTAAAGGAAATAAGCGAAACTGTTTCAATTGTAGAATTACAATTTCCAAAAATTGGTATAGATACCTAAAAAATATTATTTGTGCAAAGCATGTTACGATTATAAAATATATAATGACAAAATGAGACCTGAAGGCAGTTCTTATCAAATTAACATGGTTTAATTTTATTCATATTATAATTAACAATGCTTTTATAAAAGTATATTTGTAGTTTTAAATGTTTTGAGCACATTTAAATGACATTATTATGATCTTACTTATTTATATGGATTTCAATATTTTCCTAACTTTCTACAAGAAAATTATTTCTGCCACTTGGGAGTAACGTAAATTTAGACAGAAAAAACAAGTTAGTTAGAATAAATCTGGACATAATCAGTCAAAAATTAGAGTTATTTTCAAGCCTATTTTATAAATATTTTAGCGAATCACACAAGATCGGAAATGTTTTACTTGCGGAGCAACAAAAACATCAAATTGGTACCGTGAACAATATATATGTCATACCTGTTACATAAAACAACTAAGAATTAAGAACAAAACAAATAATAATCAAAACAACAAGAATCGAATAAATAGTAATTAAATGATTATGATTTTCTAACTCTAATTTTCTGAGTTTTTTAAACAAATATAAAACTGTAAAATATAACCTTCGTAATTTCAGTGCAAAACAAAATTAATTAATTGTTACCAAGATAAATAATAAATACATAAATTTATTTTCTTTATTTTATTTATTTTATGAAGGATAACATTTATAAATACCATTAGGTGTTATGTCCGCGCTTTAGTCTAAAAACTACATGTCACGTCCCGAACTTTCCACGGGTACACTACACTATAGCCAAATATTTATGTAATTAATCATTTGAACTAGTCTGCATGCCTCATGCATGTGATTCTTCATGCTATTTTAAAGAGGAAGACGGAATCTGTATGATTTATGATTAAAAGTTTAAACACTTTTAAGTTGAGATTAAG